AGGTGGTGGAATCTCCTTCCTTAGAAGTTTAAGGTCATGCTTGAGAAAGCCCTGGCTGCGATGATTTAATTGGGGATTGGTCCTGCTTTGAGCAGGGGGCTGGACTAGATGACCTCCTGAGGTCCCTTCCAGCCCTGATATTCTATGATTCTATGGAGTTGGTGCCTAAGGTGCCACTTTTCATGTGATCAGTGGGGGAGCAGCTGCTCCCCCTGCTCCCCCCCAGCTATGCTACCCCGCCCCTAGGAGCCAAAGAGACCTGCCAGATGCTTCCTGGGAGCCGCCCCAGGTAAGCACTGCTGGGACTCCCCACCTCGCCCCCGGCCGGTCCCTCTGGCTCTTAGGGGCGGGGCAGGGTGGGCACCCACTACGGTGGCCCACGAGACCCTCCTGTCTGGTTCTGAGGGCAGTCAGGGGACAGAGGACGGGGATGGATGGGGCAGGGGTCCTGGGGGGGTGTCAAGGAACATGGGGGGTTGGATGGGGCAGGAGTCCTGGGGGCCGGGGGTGGGCTACAACCCCCTCGTGGAGTGAGGAGGGAACGGGTTGTTAAGATTTTGGCAGCTCATCACTGGTTAGAGTGGACTATTGTTCCTCAGGCCCATAAAAATACTTTTTTGCATTTGGAATGCACCAGTGAGACAGAGTGCTGGGCAACAGCAGCTGTAGCAGTACCTGATCAGTGTATCACCAATTAAATTGCCCCAGTGTAAACCTGACAGGCAAATCTCTCCCTAATTGACAGACTGGAATGGTCTGGGGAGAGTTCAAGTGCTAATCAGCACATTAGCTCAGGGAGTAGAAGACCATACAGGAAGGAAGTGGAAGATGGGGGGAGAGAGAGGATGAGGCAGGCTTTGAGAGTTAGAGCCAAGACAGAACTTGGAGGGAAAGCTCTCCTACCTCTCCTCTCATTGGTCTAAGTGGCTGAGGAATTCTATGTTATAGCTAAGGTGCTGTATGATGGTGTAAAGATGAGGAGTGGCAGGGGGAGACACACTGTAAATAAACCATACAAGCAGAGAGTCTCCAAGCAGACTGCGTGCACAGAAGATAGTTGGAGCAGAGGGGGTGCCAAGTTCACTTAGGTTCCTGTCTGGGGTCTTGCCTTGATCCATGCAGAGGAAGAACTTTGCAGATGGTAAAGACCCTGCAATGGTTGTTGGAACAATAAAAGGAGATGGAGAAGACCTATAGCTTCCAGCAGTCACACCATCTGGAGAGGCAGGCATCACTCAGCGGGCAGGCGGAGTAGCCGAAGAGTCTGCAGGACTTTAAACAAGAGCAAGCAAATGTGTAGCAGCAAGTAGAATAGAATATGGGGGGGAGGGCAGAGTTTGAGAGCCAGAGGCAAGAGAAATCTGGGAGTGAGAGATCTTCTCCCTCATCTATCACTGCTCCAAGGGGTTGAAGACTTGCATTTATTGTACCTAAGGTGCTGCACAGTGGTGTAAAGGTAATTGGGGGAACACTGTAAATAAACCACATGTGGTGTTTATGAGTAGAGTCCATAAGTAGTCTGTGTATACAGAGGATGGCGGAAATGTAGGGAGCACCCTGTTACAACCAGATAGCACCAAATGTCAAGTATTAGTGCAAAAATAAATAAATGAATCCTGCAGGAGGGTAGTTCTGGATGGCTCAACAAAATCTCTTCATTCCTCGTCCACACACATTTCAAATAATATAGATTGAATGCTGTGGTATAGTCGTATGTTTTTCAATAGCCAAAACTTAAATTAAATGCATGCAATGGACATATTTAACTTTGTTTTGCCACTTGGTATTCCCTGATTGTTTGGCGATAGGAAAGGTACTTTTGGTTAAATCAGAAAACAAATTAATATATTACTTAGTCTTTTGCCTTGTGTGTGTCTGTCTCCGAGGCTAAGTGGGAGAATTTTAATAGGACCCCATCTTAAAATATTGTCAGCATATCACTGGTCTATTGAAAGAGTGCATATGTTCTATAGGATGACAATTAAAAAAATATGGCAGGAGTGTTTTTAGATGATTTTTGAAATAGATGAGATTTTGTCAAGAGAGGTGGCTTTGGAACAAACTGATAAATAGTAATATGTCACTGTGACCAGATGGCATTCACCCAAGTGTTCTGAAGGAACTCAAATATGAAATGACATACCACAGTTAATAATTCTGCAACGTGTTGCTTAAATCAGCCTCTGTACCGGATGCCTGGAGGATAGCTAATATAATGCTGATTTTTTTAAGAGAGTCCAGAGGCCATTCTGCCAATCACAGGCCCATAAGCCTAACTTCAGTCCCAGGCAAATTGGCAAAAATGGCAGTAAATAACAGAATTATCAGAGACCTAGATAAACACAATAAGTTGGGGAAGAATCAACATGGCTTTTGTAAAGGGAATGTATGCCTCACCAATCTACTAGAATTATTTGGGGGTGTCAACAAGCATATGGACAAGGGTGATCCAGTTGATAGCATGTACATAGACTTTCACAAAGTCTTTCACAAGGTCCCACATCAAAGGCTCTTAAGGAAAGTAAGCAGTCGTGGGATCAGTAACTGGTTAAAAGATAGGCAACAAAGGGTAGGAATAAATGGTCAGCTTACAGTGGAGAGAAGTAAATAGTGGGGTCCCTAAGGATCTGTATAATGTATTCATAAATGATCTGGAAAAGGGGGTTAAGAGTGAGATGGCAAAATCTGCAGACAGAAAATTACTCAAGATAATTTTTCTTCCTTAGAAGTTTTTTAAGGTCAGGCTTGACAGCCCTGGCTGGGATGATTTACTTGGGGATTGGTCCTGCTTTGAGCAGGAGGTTGGACTAGATGACCTCCTGAGGTCCCTTCCAACCCTGATATTCTAAGTACAAAGCTGACTGCAAAGAGTTACAAAAGTGGGTGACTGGGCAACAAATGGTAAATGAAATTCAATGTTGATAAGAGCAAAGCAATACATGTTGGAAAACATAATCCCAACTATACATACAGAATGATGTGGTCTAATTTAGCTGTTACCACGCAAAGAGATCTTGGAGTCAGTGGGGATAGTTCTCTGAAAACATCAATGTGCACCAACAGTCAAAGAAGCTAACAATCTTAGGACCTTTAGAAAGGGATAGATAAGACAGAAAATTTCATAATGCCACTATATAAATTGAGGGTATATCTATAATTTGAATGCAGCGCTAGTCACGCTATCTCAAAGAAAGATATATTAGAACTGGCAAAAGCACAGAGAAGGGTAACAACGATTAAAGGTATGGAACAACTTCTATAGGAGGAGAGGTTAAGAAGGCTGGGACTGTTCATCTTAGAAAGATATGACTAAGTAGGGGAGAGGGGAAGGATATAGAAGTCTATAAAATTATGAATGGTGTAGAGGAATGAATAAGGAAGTATGATTCATCCCGTTACGTACCACAAGAACTGGGGTCACAATGAAATAAATAGGCATCAGATTTAAAACACACATAAGGAAGTACTCTTTCACACAACACACATTCAATCTGTGGAATTGTTGCCATGGGATGTTGTGAAGGCCAAAAGTGTAACTGGGTTTGACAAAGAATTAGCTAAGTTCATGAAGGATAAATCCATCAATGGCTATGAGCTGGGATGGTCAGGGATGCAACCCTATGCTCTGGATGTCTCTAAACCTACAAGTTTAAAGTTGCAGAAGTTGGGACTGAACAACAGGGGATGGATCACTCAGTAATTGTTCTGTTTTGTTCATTCCCTCTGAACCATCTACTGGCCACTGTCAGAAGACAGGATACTGGGCTCGATGGACCACTGGTCTGACCCAGTATGACAATTCTTATGTTCAGAGGGATGGGCTGAAGCAGATGTCCAGAGAAAGCAAGTTCCATATGCTAGAAGCCATCACAACAGAAGATCATCCATCTGCCCACAAGAAACTATGGTGGAATTCCTTAAAAGGCAGATGATGTCACAATGCAAATACCTGTCTAGGAGGAGCTTTTGTATGTTGTTATTCTTTAGTCAGGAGAAATTAGAAGAAATCCAATTCACAGAAAATGAGGCTTATCCCAGGCTGGGATACAACATGGCATAGTCATGACAGAAAGAAAGGACCTCAGCAGCAGAGGAGGAAGAGGCTCCTGATATTGAAAAGTGTGAATTCAAGTATGCCCCAATGTAAGTGGGCCTTTAAAAATGATGGATGTTGAAACACAAAACTCATTGACCCTATCTCATTGTACCAGTTACTGTGTTGCTGAGCTGGCTTGTGTAATTATACAGAAGAACCTAATATTTTATGATAGCCAATAGGGAGGGAGAATGGTGGGATCTGACATTTGACATGTTACCTTACAGGTTTCAATCTCCTGGGCTCTGTTCTTGTCCCAGGTGCTGAAAAGGTTAGATAACTGAAGCATGCCTTGCCTTTTGATACCTCCACCCTCTCATGTATCTTCCAGCCTGTTTGGTTTAAGGGAGGCAGGAACAGGCCAGCTGCGGAAGCTGATATCCGGACAGTGCTGTGCTCTGCCCAGGGAGGGGCACGGGAGAAGGTCCTTATAGAGCTGGGTAAAGTGGTAAAAAGATCAAGAAGGGGGCAGCATATATCTGAAGGTTAGGGGATGGGACCGGGACGTATCTGAGGCAGGTTCTAGTCCCAGTTCCGCTGATTTGCTGCGTGACCATGGTGCCTGCCCCGGGCCGTGTCTCCGTTTCCCCATCAATAAAATGGGGGTAAGGATAGGAAGGTGCTGTACAGAGCACTGTTTGGGGAGCTCAAACGTTGTCTCCCTCCCCACGCAGGGCAGGCGGGCTGAGGCGGCTGCTGCTTTCCCTTGGCAGGCTGCCGCTGCTTTCCCCCCGCCCCGGAGAGGGGGGCATCCAGCGGGCAGCTGAGGCCGGGGCCCCTCCCCGGCAGCCGCTCCCCGGAGAACTCAGGTGGCGGGCTGGGGGGAGCGCAGCAAGGAGCATGCGTGCTGGGACGGGGGGAGGGGGGAGGCGGCGGCTGTTTATTTGCAGCGGGGCAGGCGGAGCCGCGGCAGAGCGCGAGCAGCCAGCAGCGGCTCGGGCTCCTGCCTGCCCCGGCGGCACCATGCTAGCGGCGCTGTCCGCCCGCGCCCGGCAGGAGGAGGAGGATGCCCCGCGCCCGCGAGGAGCCAGCCCAGCAGGATGGTGACAGCCTCCGCCAGCGGCAGGAGCCGGGACCGAGCGCCGCTGCAGCCGCCGTCCCCGCCTTCTTCTCCTGTCCCCGCAGCCGGGGCGGCTGCTGCCGCCGCCGCCGCCGCCGCTGCTCCAGCCCGGCCCGGCTCCGGCAGCTCCCTGGCCGCGGCGCTGCTGCTGGCCGGGCTGTGCGCCCTGTGCTACGGCAGCTCTCTGCGGGGCGAGTTCGTGCACGACGACGTGTGGGCGATCGTCAACAACCCGGACGTGCGGGCGGCGGCCCCCTGGGCGGGCGTCTTCGCCAACGACTTCTGGGGCAAGGGCATGGCCGAGAACACCAGCCACAAGTCCTACCGCCCCCTCTGCGTCCTCACCTTCAAGTAAGTGCCCCGGCCCGGCCGGGCGGCCACTGCGCCCTCCCGGCGCGCCCGTGCCCAGCTGCAGCCTGGCGCCTCCTGCTGGCTCCCGGGGCGCGCGAGGGAGCCCTGTGGAGCCGTGGCCCCGCTCCCGGCCAGCCCCGGGCTAGGGGGTGGGCAGAGGCGCGCCCGGGGTTAACCCTGGGGGCTTTGAGAATGCGGAGTGCGGCGGCCTTAGCCCTGGCGGCGCCAGCGGGGATGGGAGCAGGCGGGTTAGCCGCGCATCCCCCGGCGACTCGCGGGGTGCAGCCGCCAGGGCGCCCCGAGTGGAGGGAGGGCTGGGGCTGCACCCAGCTGGCGGGTTTCCCCGTGTGTGTGGGGGGGGGGGGGAAGGGGGTATATAGGGGGAAGGGGAGGTTACTTGGCGGGTGGGCCAGCGCGGGGGCGCCTGTGGGTCCGCACTGGGTGGTGGAGGAGGAAGCGAAGGGCTTTTCGGGGCTTGCACCCTAGCGAGCGAGGCGGGGTTCTGGGCGAGGCGAGGTTCTGGGGCACCAGAGCTGCCCGCCCTGGCCCGGGCATGTTTGGGGCTGGGAGGCGAGCTTCGTGAGTCAGCGTTTCTGAAGGGAACTCGCGAGCAGTGCAGACCCCGGTGGGGTGGGGAGAGAGGAGCCTAGCGGGCTGCCTTCGCGTCAGCACCGGGGCCGCTGCCTCAGGTTGTGCCCGGGGCTCTGGCTTCTCCAGTCCGACTGGGGAGCGCTGAGAGGGGGAAACGCTGGGTTGGCATCAGAATCTGTCTGTGGGGAGGGGACTCGTTCTCTCCGAAAGGCAGGCAGCTCTAGGGGAACAGCTGTCTGGTGCACCTGCCAAGAAACCCTGAAGTTCCTGCAAAAGCTATGTGGCTTGCTGGGTCCACAGCATCTGCAAACCCCCACCGGTTATTCCTTGTTGGTTGGCTTTGTGATCATTCAAGAAGGATAGAAGAAAAACGTTTAGGAAGTGCTTTGTCTCTGAAATGATCATTTAAATGTTAAAAGAAAAGGAGTACTTGTGGCACAAATTCGTTAGTCTCTAAGGTGCGCACAAGTACTCCTTTCCTTTTTGCGAATATGGACTAACACGGCTGCTACTCTGAAACCTGTCATTTAAATGTTCTAATTCCTGTTCAACCCTCCCTTTAAAGAAACCACGCCAACTCTAGTGCCTTTTTGAAATCTCCTTTTCTGCAGTAAGAACAGGGGCTTAACATTTGTCTAATGATCACTTTCAGCTACACTTCTGAGAGAAATATATTAGCAACACTTTTTAAAAGAACCATACTTCTAGGGTCTGCCTTAAATATACTACTACATTTCTTACTGTCTGACAGCTGCAGCTCTCACCTCAGTCACTGACTTCAGACTCAGACAGCTATTCTGCATTAGATGGCCCTTATGCATGACATGCAGAATAGGCAGGGAACGTTTTCTGTTACAAAAGAAAGAAGACAAGTTGGGCAGCAGCTGGAAAGTAACTGACAGTTGTGCCCCGCTAATCTGGAAGGGAAAGCTGCCCCACTTTTTAAAAAGGATAGCAGATGGAGTTAGTATAGTGCATGCAATTCATGTCCTTCTGGTTATCTTACTCCTTTTTTTACTGTGTTTTGATGAAACCCTTGATAATATAAAATATTTGATATATTGTAGTAAATAAAACGCATTTTAAAATTGAGGGTCATGAACTTTCAGTATTGCTATGAGAAGACTTATGGGTCACACTTTAAGGTTTTGTTTATAAATAATTTATAAGCATGTTCAGACATAAGCAGTATGTGCTATCGATGGCTATAAGCACATAAGTGGAAGGTATTATACATGGTTATAATCAATTTGTTGACCTGTTGGACTCTAAAAAATAATTACAGGATCAAATAATCATTTATAAAAAATCTGCATGAATTGGCTGAAAATGGAACCTTAATATAAAGTGAGACCCATTAATGAATACAAAATTTCTTATTTTTATTTATAAAAAGCTGGGAGTGTTCTTGGTGTTTTACAGGCAGGTCTGAAGATAAGAACCCTGCCTTGAAGAGGCGCACTGGCTTTGCATAGGCAAAACCATTTCTACATGGATCCCCATTGACTTCTTTGGTGGCAGGATCAGCATACAAGGATCTGATGGCAGCATAGGGCCTAAATTATATGAGATAATTAGTGAAGTGCTTTTGAACTTTAACAAAGTACCTGAAATGAAATGTTTCAGTATGCATTTTTTTCTTTGAATCTGAACCAGCATTTGCTTATACTGTTTAATTTAAAACATATTTAGGATGAAATCATGCTTGATTTAGCTATGCAGGTAGTTCTTTTGGCAGTTAGTTGGACTAGTTTTGTTTGCAGGATTTGACACTGAAGTATATTCATTTCAAAGTGTTTACTATACAGTTTTAATTTGATCGGTACCTGGGCTGGTTGTTGGATTGGGAAGGAATCATTTTACTTCTTTGATACTCTGACTGCAGAGTGAAGACTAATTCAACTCAAAGGCCTAAGTAGCCTCTGTGGGACCTTTGTGGTCCCCCTCCCCCCCACCATTGCCAGCAGTAGGGGAAGAGGAGGTTGACGGGATCTGAGCAGAAGTGGGTCATCTGGCCCCACTTCCTGAAAACTGTGCATACAGGACTCTCACCAAGTGGTACTCCACTCCAAGTGTGGAATGCATGCTCCCTGCATAAACATCCAGTCTCCCCCTTGCTCTGCAGAACATCACTGGTTCCACTGCGTAGAGGCACACTTTCCCTCTGGAGCAAGGGGTGGATTTGCCCTACTGGCAATAAAATGCTTGATAGAAATGGACCTTTTTAGCAAAATGGAAATGAAAACAGCATCCTAATACACTTTCCAGAGATGAGAGCACTTAGGATGCTTAAGAAAATGGTGCATTGTGAATATTTGCAGATTAGATTGAAGTTGGAATGTAATGGCTGAGCTATCTATTCAGCCACACTATGTTGTCTAAGTGAAGATCAAGGGGTTTTAACAGTAGCCAGACCCTGTGTGAGGCACCATTCGTTATTCTCCTCTGGAATAAAGTTATATTTCCAACCATGGAATTTGTTCTATTTGTTCTGTGCACACAATTCAGAGACCCTATGGATTTTGGATTATGTTATAGCAAGATTCAAAAGAAATTTTTTGGGATTATATCTGCAACTCTTATCATAATATACCAAGGACATTTTATTCTCTCTCTTTTTCATCCTTTAATAGCCATGCCTTTTTGTAGCTATGAAATCAAGAGGAACAATTCAGGATGCCCTATAGACTTTGAATTGACACTGGAATGAAGTCTATGACAGCGACTGCCATGTTCTGAAAATGATTTTGCTTGAAACCCCCCCCCCCGCATCCATTAGAAGAATTTTAAAAGGAGAGTCCTTAACACAAAACCAAGCAGTTAAAAATGTCAAATGAGTTCAGAAAGACTAAAATAAAAGATTTTAAAATAAAAATCTTTAATTTCAGAATACAGTTAAGTTACAGATTAATAAATACATATGGATATAATTTATTCTGTGTGTGCTCTCAATATGAACAATGAGAGGAAAGTTGAATGGCCTAGATTATTAGAACCTTGAGCTAAAAGTAAAATATTCACACTCTGGGTGCATTTTTTTGTGTCTGGACATGAGCAAGCCAAAAAACCCACAACCCCCACAAGAAAAAAAAAAACAACAACCAAGCCCGCCTGCAGCCCACCCCATCCGGAATGTAAGTTCTTGGCTTTTTTTTTTTTTTAAAAGAGGTTACTTAGCTGAAATATACTATAGTTCATTCTCTCCCTCTCTTTCCTGCCTTAAAAACAAATAAACAACCAAAACAGTATAATGTGTTCAAATAAGTGTGTGTGGGTGTGTATAATTTCCTAACAGCCAGTCCTTCAATTCATCCTGGGCTCTTAGAAAGCACCCAGCTTAAATATGTTATGCCTTGTCACTGGTAACAGAGGTTCTGTAGACCAGTTATGTCCTCACTGACACTTAGGTTACACCCTTGCTTCTCATGTATTTGCACAATGTTGCTGATTTGGAACTTCGTAAACAATACTGTTGGATGTGAAAGACAAAATAAAATCCTCAGCTCACTCTCTCAACTGTTTGTTCTGCAAGGCCAGTAACCAAAAAAAATCCAGTAAAAACTTGCTTTTGTCACTCAGATGGCTTATGACTGAGACAGCAAATCTGTGGAGTAATAAGGTAACACTTTTATATAGTCGTCAGAGTAGAACTGTTCTTTAAGGAGCAGCACTAACAGGCTTGGAAAGAAGTCTCTTCTAAATTCAAGAGATGATAAAACAAGTTTCAAAGGACATTAAACAGATGTCATCCTGTTTTAACTTTGGTTTGGTGAACACAGCCTGTAAGGAAAATGAAAGGCATGCCCCTAAAGTCCATTTGAAATCCTATTAAACCAACGAAAGGCTCACCCTGTCACAAGATGGAGAGGGACACAGAAATCACATTATTTGGGACAAAAGATCGGGGGAAAAAAAGAGATTGGAGGTGCATTCACAGGGTCAAAAAAAAAAAGGTTCCAGAGGGGGACACTCAGCAGAGAAACCTCAAAACACCCATTTCTCTTAGGAGTTAGCGGAACTCTTCTTAGATGCATGAAGGGAACAGAAAAGGGCCCTGCAATTGCAGACAACCCCCTGTCCTGCTTCTTCTTCCTGGCCATCTTGGCTAATGCCAGGAGGAGATAGACAAGGAAGTCATGGGACTTTCTGGATCCATGGATGAGGAGATGGACAGCCTTGGAGACTGACATTTTCTTCCCACAGAACTGGTGTAGAAGAAGGCAGCAGTGCATGCTTCCTTCACACCAATGTTCCTTTACCCTGACTTAGAGTGATCACTTCCTTAGAAGAGCAGTTAAATCTTTGCTCATTCATTCACTGGTCTTTCTGCTGAGATGCACCAACAAAAAGGCTAGTAGTGGTGGCTTTTGGGACATGGACACTTGGGAGTTAGACTGAGAACATCATCT